GAGGTCTGCTGTACCCCTTTGTATTCCCTTAAACACACGCCTGGCCTCCAGGAGCCCCCGTCTCCTCAGGGCCCTGCTGTGACCCCGTGAACGAGCACCTGCAGCACAGACACATGCAAGCCGCACATGGCAGCGTTCCTGGAAACTTCTAGGCCCCTTTGGGATAAAAAGCATGTTTAAACCTTTAGCCACATCCGTCTGCCTGGCCTGAGGGAACGATGTGGAATTCGGCCTTGGTGAGAGTCCCAGGGTCTGAGGAATGCGCCAGGCCCTCGGTGAGCAACCTGGTGAGGGGTGGTGGCGCTTCTCTGACCCCCCTCCACAGCTAGCAATGCTGTCTACACAGCACCTGGCCGCTCAAGTTCAAGGTCACTGGCCATTGCCTTAGAGCAGGGATGCCAGACACCCTGCTCCTCAAGAAATACAAATAGGGGCCAATAGGTGGTGTAGTGATTAAGGCATTGGATTCCCACATGGCTGACCACAGCTCGAGTCCCGGACCTGGCGGTTTGAAACTCATGCCAGGCGCATGTGCATGCATGCCCCAAATCCCAAGAGGAGAACGAAGGAGAAGGGATTACGGCATGGCCACCCCCCCCAGGGGGGGGTGGTTTCCCACTTTCTCTGTCTCTCCGATGAGCAAAAATCTCTCTCTAAAAAAAAAAGCTAAAGAAAGAAATAGAAATAAATGTGGGCCAAAGTCAGTCTCGGCAGTTCTGAGCAGAAAATGCACCTGTCCGGAATCAGTAGGAGGCCCTAGAAGACACCTGCCACCTCTGTCCAGTCCACATGCCCCACCCTGACCCAGCCAGACCGCCAGATGGCCATCCTGGCCCCTATGGTCCCACATACAGCAAAGCGGCCTGAGTCAGAACTCGCAGCGCCGAGCTGGGAACAAGCTGTCAGTCATGGAGGCGGTGCCTAGACAGCGAGCGACACGCCCGCAGAAAATGCACCTGTCCGGAATCAGTAGGAGGCCCTAGAAGATACCTGCCACCTCTGTCCAGTCCACGTGCCCCACCCTGACCCAGCCAGACCGCCGGATGGCCATCCTGGCCCCTGTGGTCCCACATACAGCAAAGCGGCCTGAGTCAGAACTCGCAGCGCCGAGCTGGGAACAAGCTGTCAGTCATGGAGGCGGTGCCTAGACAGCGAGCGACACGCCCAGAGCCCGATGACGTGCCCTTTCCCCGGTTTCACTGTCAACCGCGTGGGTAAGTGGTTAGAGAGGCAGGAAAGTGGGGGTCCCCAGGGCTGCCCCTGTGGGACGCACTTCCGCGAGAACCCTGGTCACAGTCACCTGGGAGTCCAGTTCAACTGCAGACTAATCTGGCAGTCCTGTGGGGTGGGTTCGGGGTCTGTGTCTGCTGCTGCCTTCGGAGTGGGGGGCTCTGCTTCATGCCTTCCAAAGCTAGCTGGGGGCCATGGCGGCAGTGCATGGGACACTCTGAAGCCGACTCACGAGCAGGGGCACATCTTGGGAGACCTCCCTGAGTACCCAGGCACGCACTCGCCCGTGATCCCGGGCTTGCTGAGCCTGGGGGGCGGATCATGGTAAGAAGATCCTGTTGGGGGTGCTGTCTCTGTCTCTCTGTCTCCCTCATTTATGGAATAAAAAACAAAGACAGCCACAAAGCCTTGAAGAAGACCCATGCTTTGGGGGGAAAAGGAGGAGGCAGGAGGTGGGGTGGTGGTTAGAATGCTGGACTCCAACATGGCAGACCACAGTTCGAGTCCCAGACTTAATGGCTTGCTCTCTCCCTCTCTTTCTCTCTCTCTCTATCTCTCTGTTGTACGTGCCCGATAACAAATTTTAAAATAATAAGGGACCAGCAGGTGGCATAATGGTTATATCGCCGGACTCCCACGTAGTCAACTGTGGTTTGAGTCCTGGACCTGGGGGCTTAAGCTCACGCTGGGCACGTGTGCGGGCATGCCCAAGATCCCGAGAGGAGAATGGAGGAGAAGGGATTGCGGCGTGGCCATCCCCTCTGGGGGGTGATTTCTCGCTTTCTTCTCTATCGCTCCAGTAAGCGCATGCACCCTATAGCAAAAAATCCCTCTCTCAATAATAGTAATAATTAATAAAATTAGATACATAATTCTCAAACAAAAGAATGCTACCCGGGCACCTGCTCTGTTAGAGGCAGGAAAGTGGGGCTCCCGGGGTGGCCTGTGTGAGATGCACTAGACACCATTCCCAGCTCGGGAGTGTGGCCTAGAAAGGCAGAACCTGGGACAGAGCGTGTGCTGGGCACAAGGGT